AAACAATAGAATATACTAAGTAACCTTAACAGCGCTTAGATTAGAAAAACATCTTTGATTGATCAAAATGCGCTTCAACCGACTATTCGACTCAATGTAACACCTGTTACATATATACTATCTGATCCACCTTTTTTAATGAAGTAAACGTTAGCTCTCTCCATTGGGGATGACAGTTAGCTAGCCAAGCCGATATAATGATTAAATCAGCTACCGTTGTATTGTTATTTTTGACAACGCTTTTACTACTAACAGATAAAATAGTCCAAGAGTATTCATGTATAGAGAAACTTGTGATAAAGTTTAACTATACTTTTTTTGACATAAGTTTCCATGGTTAAATATTTACATGGTTGTAATATACATTAATAGCAGAAGATTATTAGATTCTGATTAAATATTGTCGATTTTGTGCAGTTTTCATATTTGAACATCTCTGAGCATTGATTCTAAACTTAACAATAAATCTTCTAAACCTTCACAATCATCATTGTCGCGGTAATCATTTGCTCTTGTGTTGTGATTACATGCAGATATTGTCTCGTACTGTTTTTCAGTTATTTGAAAACCAACGTATTTAGTGTGTCTATTCGGTAAAAAATCTAATGAGTCGAATTCAGCATAATCCTTGAACCCGTCATCATCCAATTTGATATTCACATAAAACTTGTTTCTGTCTAACTTAAACGCACCTAATATTTTATCACAAATATCATCAACAGTGTCCGATGAATTCAAACTAACGAGCTTTTTTCGATCAAGATATTCGATGTGAGCAAAACGAACATTTGATTTATCACTAAAATAAAATAAATAAAATTTATCGAACACCCTTTTGATAACGTTTGTTGTTTAACACAAATCATTTCACACTTAATAGTAGAATTACATTATGGATTTTAAAAATGATCAAGCTGCGTATTAATTATTACACCAATTATTACCTAATCACGCATGTCCTTTCGCTTCGCTTTACTGGTCTCTAGTAAACTAACAACACTCTTAAAAGGTAAAAGATGAAGTTGCCGGTTAAAAGTTTTTACTTTCGCTTTCATGTTGATCTGGTAATGTAGATGACAATTAAAGCAGCTGCGCAATTCTCCAGTATGTTAATTGCATGAAACTGAGCTAAAACCGACAGTAATATTACTCATACGATAAGGCTATTGCGAACTCTTTTGCACAGGCAGTCTCATATAATAAGTGAGGTTGGTAGAAGATCTTTGAAAAAACCAATACAGTTCTCCAAAACTTACAGTGGCAATATAGTGGTTCTTTTACGTGAAGTGATAGCTCAAAGTGTTCTCTTCGATGGAGTCAAGCGAGACTTTGGTCTCCAGTGGTTCAAGCGTGATATTGGATTTCTCTGGAGCCCCAAGGTCGGTATCCGCTGACTTAAGGTAACCTTGAAATTGGATGAAACATATATAATCAACCATGCTGAGCCTGGTGGCAATGTTTGTTTTTGGAAAATAATTCCAAAACCTCGTGAAAACTGGGTTTTACGAAAGCGAGGGTATCCATGTCGTTTTTACTTACGAGAGAACGTTCCTAAGTGCCCCCGCTTTTTCAACGAAACCTAGTGGTTTATAGGTTATCGATGATGCTGATTCCGAATATGAATATGAGAGCTGCTTTTAGTGCTTCGAAGACCCGTTTTTCGGAAACTCTGGAAAACAACCAACGCTTCTCTATTCAAATATTCCTTGTCAGCTCACAGCTACAGAAATCAGAAGATATTAATTTAGGGTTTTCTTGTAAATTCTATAACTTTGTAAAGAAAGGTCATGTAGAGTTGGGAGATGTCTCATTTAAATCAGAAATGTGCGGACTATAAGTATGGCTCATTAAGAGAGCCATAAACCCTAAGAACAGCTCTCATATTCATATTCGGAATCAGCATCATCGATAACCTATAACCCACTAGGTTTCGTTGAAAAAGCGGGAGCACTTAGGAACGTTCCCTCGTAAATATTACAAAACTCATAACTCAATCAAAACATCACAATCAGTAGAAAACCTCAGCATATGATTACTTTTGTGCGCTGAGCTTGATAATGTGATCGAAAGAATGGAAAAGCCGTATTTTTGAGCAACGATTTTTCAGAAGGTTTTTCGGAAAACAATGTTGTTTTGTAAATTTATTTTCGTAGACTTATCATCAATAAGATGTAGAATAGCGTAACAGCCATACATTGTGCGGTTTTCGGCTAGTTCTGATGTTTTGATTGAGTTATGAATTTTAAGTGAAAACAACTTGGACACTCTTGCTTTCGTGAAACCCAGTTTTCACTAGGTTTTTCAATTATTTTCCAAAGACAAACATTGCCACCAGACTCAGTGTGGTTGATTGTATATGTTTCATCCGATTTCAAAGCTATCTTAAGTCAGCGGATACCGATCTTGGGGCTCCGGAGAAATCCAATACCACGCTCGAACCACCCGGGAGATCAAAGTCTCGCTTGACTGCATCGAAGAGAACACTTTGAGCTATCTCTTCACGTAAACGAACCACTATATTGCCACTGTAAGTTTTGGAGAACTGCATTGATTTTTTAAAGATCTCCTGAAACACCCACTTTTGAAAACGATTTTGAAATCTGTTTTGCTTTCGAAAAGACTTCCCCATCTCTACTTTAGATCAACGAAAACCGGGGGCCTCACCACCGTCTAGCGGAAAGTTATTCTGAAAATAGAAAAGTGTGCTTTTGTTATGATTCAGTTGCTTTACTCGCTCAAGCAAAAACGACCCAATTTTTTGGGTTATTTACCGAGATTCAGCTCCACGTGCATCTTTGTTTCGTTTACCTCATTATTTTTCGTTGTACGTTTCCTTAATCAGGCTATACAGTCTAGGCATAGGCCAAGATCAAGCTGTCTTGACTCAAGAGTTTGTCACTTTCAATTAGTTTGACTCAAGATCTTTAACGGTACTTGATGAGTAGTTATTATTCATCATTTGACACTCTTATTCATTAGTTATTAAGAGCTCCGTTTCAAGAAGATACTGACTATGGATAATAGCAACCTTTTAACTACTTTTATTTCTGTTTTACATAGATTGTCTCTCACTACCATGATTCGAAGAAAAAGCCGGAAAGTCATGGTAGTTGAGAAAGTACTCTGAAAACTCATTTAACTTTTATACTGATGTAGCTACCTACTGTTTTATACGTTCAGCTGTGATGTTGGCAGCCGTATAACTCAAAAACTAAACGATGCCTTTCTCTACAAAATAGCATGGTATAGAGTACAAGTTGTGTACTACAAACTGCCAGAAAAACTGGAGAGGGGTACCTTCAAATTTGTTAACTTTTTAACCTGGGAAGTGGTCAGAATATACACTAATTTCATAGTGAGTTGAATCTTTCTTTTGGATAAAACGATAAAATCGCTTGACCCCAAAAGAGATAATAAATTTAATTAGTAATCAGCAACGAAAAAAGAATATAGAATGAAAAAACACCCGAAGCTTATGGGTATATATTTTATTCTTCATGAAAACAAATTAATGAGAATCAGTATCATTGTTTAATTTTTCATGTTCATGTAAAGAACATTAAGCTTTTCTTCATGTTGAACATGTATAACTTTCAATATCTTTTGTTATTTCATATCTTTGTTTAGCTGCAACAAGTTATTCTTCATAAATTATACTAGATTTTGCTATTTTTTTTGAAGGTAAGCCTTGAAAAAGTTCTTATTCACGATTATAGGTGCATCTTCCTCTTTTTTTTGTATATTTTACACTCACATCCACATATTCGGGTGTGTTGATAATTTTCTAAAGTAGAAAAAATAGCAGCTGTTAGCATTTTTCTGCGCTCCGTAATATTCGAATGAGAACACTTACGAATTTTGAGCACACTGCCATCCTTGAACATGATTATTAGTACGTGGACGTACACCAATGGTATCATATAAATTCCAAAACTGGATATTAAATTTTTCGGAAATATATGTTGTTATTGCATAATCAGCTAATTTTATATATTTATCATCTGTATTACTTAATGTATCAATAGCTAATTCCATTGAATTATTAAGTTCATTCGTAGGTAACAGTGGCAATGACGTTATATTAGCTATTTCTCGTGTAATTTCTTCTTTTTTACAATCTCGAACTAAACCTAACTTTTTTATTCTTTTTCAAATATTTTTGGTAAAATGAAAATAGCAATCCTTAAGCCCCCCCCCCCTCAGAAATTATCTCCGACACCGTGCATCTGATCTTGATGAAACTTTCCATAAATATTAGGCACAATGGAATTACGGGAATAAAAATATTTTTTTGTCTCCAAGTCTTACGGTTTAGGAGTTTTCCAGAGGTCGAGGTCCAAAAAGGACCCTTAAGTGCGTTCCAAGATTTTTTAATACACTTCAAGCTGGAGAACTCGTGTTTGTTTTATTTTAAACTAGACGTCTAACTACATCGACTGACCGGCGCAATTAAGCCTTTATTGGTTTTCCAGGCAACCCACAGCCTCCGAAACCCGAAAAATCGTTCCGGATTTTCTAAAAATCCTCAGATTGACAAAAAAATAAGACAGTCGATGTAGTTTCTTTTCTTCTTTAAAACAAAAAAATAATGAACTCTCTACGACAGGAGGACTTCTAGGGAAATGTCTGTAACTTTTTGACGCAAGGTCATACAGAGTTGTGCGCAGTCTTATTTTGATCAGAAACGTTTGCTCTACAAAACTGTATTTTCGGAAAAATTTTAATTTGTGTAAGTATCCAGGAAAAAGCCATTATCTGAAGATCCGTTTTTTCGAGGCTCGTAGAAAACTTGTTCAAAATCCCCGAAAAACCACTTTTATAACCAAAAGCAATACAGATTCTGGAAGTAGACACTTCAGGCTATCTTTCCATGTGCGTATCTCAAAACCGATTTTTTGACCGAAAATCACCATTTCTGGGGAGAGGGATGCATTATAAGCACCTAATTCAAAGTCAGTTAGAATTGTTTGTGGATTCAATATGATACTAAAATTACTTGCACGGCTATTATACCTGTTAATACTCCTTTATAGATTTCAAATATTTTACCAGGTAAAGCACAAAATAATGGTGATTTCATAGTTAATACATTTCATACATGAATTGAATATGATTGTGAAAAATACATTGGTGCTGTTTTGAAAGTTCCATCTGTATTCCAATGTGAATTTTGTTGCAGCGTTTGTAGACCAGTTGGTGAACCATATACAACTATATTTTTATTCATATGATATATTAGAAACTGTTGTTGATTAATTGTTACAGCCATAGATGTTGGTATTTGTAATTGTTCAACTGATTTTGGAAGTACTGGTAATGTTTCCAGACGTGTTCTATACAATGTTGATCTCACATCAGCTAAACAAGGTAATTTTCCCACTACGCACGCTTCTTTGACTTTACGAAAATAGCACGTTCTGCTTTTTACACTTGTGGTATTGGACGACGGATCTTCTTCAATTTTACGTTTCATGCCAGGAATAATACTTTTAGCTTTTTCATCAATCTTAACCAAATGATTATGAACACCACTTGTACGAATAACGTTGTTGTTGGTATCAACTGTTATGTATGCTGAACATTTGTTTATTGTACATTTAAATAAAACAGCTGAATTTTTATTTTGATGAACTTTACGAAAACGAAAATCTTGAAATACAGCGCAAAATTTTCCTTGCTGTGTAGTAGACATGATAACTTTTCCCAAGTTCATTTTTTGTTAGAAAATGACATGCTTGCTATTTAGTGATTCTATATTTATATAATTGTCGTTTGTACACTGTTTAATTTGATTTTATACACTGTACTTAATGATTCTGATTGATTTAATTTCATGAAGAATGAAATATATACATACCCATAAGTTTCGTTTGTTTTTTCATTCTATATTCTTTTTTTGTTCTTGATTACTAATTAAAGTTATTATCTCTTTTGGGAATACAAGTTATTATCTCTTTTGGGTTTACTCACTTTATTATTTCTTTTGGCCTCTAGCCGATAAAATTTGTTCTTTTCTCCATCTCTTGTTTTGTATCTCAGTCTACAGTGCGCGGAGAAAGAGAAAAACATCAAAGCAAATAAAAACGAAACATAAAAGAGAACGGGAAAAAAGCGGCATCGTTGCTAATTTATTGCTTGCATACACTTACGTTTTTTCGCTAGGATTCGAACTGATCTGAATGAAAATATATACCCCATTCAACAAAAGTATATCCGAACAAATTAGCTTTGTTATCCTAATTTGATAGATAAAGCTGTAATAGTTTTTCAACCAAATCAGACAGAGTATTGTTTCACAGGACTCGTTTTTGATGTACAGCACTGATTTCCTTCAAACCTTAGTATGATACAATACTCCTGTAATGGAACAAAGCTATGATGAAAAACTGAATGATCAGGAGTTCTAGAGATTTTTCGAAAGACCATAGATGTAAGTGGTCAAGATTTTCTCGATCGGGCCGGCAACCGGTCGAAACATTTCTGACCGAGCCGGGGCGGCCGATTGACCGGTCATATATTTTCGTTTGGACATCAAAACATTTTCTGACGCCACCCCGAATTCTGCATCATTAGAATTACAGAAGAATGTAGGAAGCATAGGCACCTACTTTCTGCCTCTTGATGTTGAGATAACTCTGGAATCACTTTGAGCTCAAATTTTTACTGTCCGAGGTCAGATACTCTCTTCAACCGGTATTACCATCACTACTATATTATTGTATTGAAAAATAAAAAAAAATAAATTCTTCTATCTCTTCATCATCATCAGCATGATTCATTCATTAGAATTAAATTAAAGTTAAGAAGAAAAAGAGCAACAGAAAGGGGAAAAAACAAAAGAATAGAAAATGGCAGTAGCAGGAGAACATTATGCTCAATTGATTGATGATGACGTTCAAATCTTATCTAATCCCAACAGAACAGAAGATCTGAGAGACTAACTCAGCACTTACAACAAGTCTGAATTCCATTTGCTCGCACTTACGTAGTGCTGCAATCAGTTTTAGTTCAAACAGCACGAGGCTGGAATACTCTGACTGAATTGGCGGTATCATCTCTTTATATAAGGCTAAGACAACATCTGCACATATAAAACAAAACGAGCACAACAACTAGAAGATGGAAAAAGCATTTAACATAAGATGGCAGAGTTTACAGGTGATTATCATTTTTTCTGCTTTCTCAGCAACAAGGTTTGGTCACAGCTTACTGTTGTTTGTACGTTTAAAAAGATGAAAAAGTGTTTTTTCTTCTTTACTTATTATGTACTAACATTTGTCGTTGCTAAAATAAAATCAGTCAATCAACAGAACTCCTGATTATTCAATTTCTCATCACAGCTTTGTTTCACTACAGGAGTAATGTATCGTACTAAGTTTCGAAGGAAATCAGTGCTGTACATCAAAAGTTATAAGCAGTCCTACTGACACGTGTGAGCGAGTCATGTGTAATTCGACAGAAGACAATCAACGCTTCGTCTTATACTGACCACACTCAGCAATGTTAGTGCAGTGATGGATCCAGAATCATTCTTTGGTACGTGTGGTAGTTATGGAAACAAATTATTCTAAGAGAGTTCTGCTAAGACAAAAAGTTTCTTGGTTAAAAGGTACGAGCGGTTGCTCGTACCGGTCTTGAGCTGGATCCGCCACTGTGGTACTGTTATTCCAAAACAGGAATAAAGAGTATAAAACTGCATTCTCTATCAATAGACTGCGTGCTAAATGTAATTGTACTCTTTTTTTTAGGCACGCTTTATGATAATGGTATGCTTCGTCGATACATTACGGTTACGCTGTTTGTTTAAGCTGCCGCTATCGATATGTTTAGCAAAGTCCATGGAAGAATAATTTTACTTACACCAGAGTCAATGGTGCTATTCATATAATCATCAGTATCTGTCTCATCGTAATGAGTGCTGGATGTACGACGAACACTATGTTTTCTCGTTTTGGGTCTCGCTTCGTCTGCTGGTATGTATTTATTTGATCGAACAGTTTTGCTTGTTTGTGCCTGGACGTTTAGTTCGGACTTTGGCTAGGAGACAAAAAAGATTCAGTTATCTGATTTAGAAGGCTATATCTTACTAACCACTTGTGTGAGATTATAGAAGTCATCGCTAGCCGAACTTGTATCGTTCGATGTGGATGAAAGAGAGTCATGATCAATTTGTGGATTAGTTTTTAAAATTACTGTTCGTTTTGGTGATGTTATACATCTAGAATGAAATTTTTTCAGTTTTTTAAATAATACATGTTTTAGTTGTTACCGCGCTTTTGTTATTTCGAGAAAATCACGAATATGTTGTTGAATGTACGGCATCCGTAAAATTTTCCTCGGTATGGGACGTTCAT